GGATAAGAACTTTAATAACTATCTATATTAGCAAAGATTAGAAATGAGAGCCGAGCAAGGCTTTCAAACTCGGCTCAACAAAAAACTCAAGTTCGAACACCTTAATACTCGGCTCACCCGGCTTGTGAGCCAAGCCCAGCCGTCAAAATATATATAAATATATTTTTTTTTCTTTTTTGTCCCCAATTCCCCATATCTCTTCTTTCTCTCTTTTGCCCCTCTAAATTCAAATCTCCTCTTCTACTTCGTCTTTTCTTCTTCATTTTTCTCCATATTCTCTTCATTTTTGTTTTCTTTTTTCTCCTCTTTCATTCTTTCTTTTTTATTTTCTCTCCCATCTATTCTTCTTCATCTTTCACTCTTTCTTATTCATTTTTCTCCAGGTCCTCTTCTTTTCTTTTTTTTCTCTTCTCTCATTCTTTCTTTTTTATTTTCTCTCCAGTCTCTTCTTCTCCTTCTCCTTCTCCTTCTTCATCTTTCATTCTTTCTTATTCATTTTTCGCAAGATTATCTTCTATATTTTTTTTTTTCATTTTTCTCGTCTTTCATTCATTCATTTTTATTTTCTCTCCAGTTTCTTCTTCTTCTTTGTCTTTGATTATGTTGTAATTACTCTTTACTCAAATCAAGCAAACATCAACCAAAAACACACAATCAACGTAAATCAAACAGATTCAACACACAGTATTTACCATGGTTCACTTGTTCAATATTGAACAAGCTTCGTCCACATTGAGCTCTAGAATATGGATACTCGCTGCACTTACTATTACAATCAAGAACGGTTACAACTCTCAAACTCTCTTCCCTTTACAAGATTTCAACCAAGATCAAACAGGCTTTAGAATAACAAAGATAAACCTACAATCTGAACTAAGAACTCTACACCAGGTTCCCACCCCACTAAGAAACACAAGTCAATGGACAGATTATCTGCAGATTTACACCCACATAAAGCCCTAATATTGAACCCTAATCTTCTAACTCAGAGAGGTATCAACAGAGAGGAAAAACGCGTTGGTTGCAAAACTGAAAGGTCCTCTGCTTTTATAGGTTTGACTCAACTTAAGTCCTCAGCCGTCAGATCTGTTCTCAAACTAACGATCAGGATGAAGTCTCGGCTTAAGTCAAAACGATGTCGCATAAGGTTTCTTGGCTTAAGTCAAAACGGTGTCGCATAAGGCTTCACATATAACACATTATTTGTTTTTTATCTTCTCTCTAGCGGCCGGAATGGTAGTATAACATTGCTTCTTCTTCTTCTTGGTTGCAATTTCCATTAGATATTCGAGCAGCTCATGAGCTTGAACAGTCTTGAGCTCAATGTTTCAAGCTCAATTGAGCTTGAGCTCGAGTTCGAACTCAGAATTATAGCTCACAAGCCAAGCTCGAGCCGACAGATACTCGGCTCGGCTCGACTCAGCTCGGCTCGACTCAGCTCGGCTTATATACACTCCTAACAGAGACTTAAACTTAGGACCTTTTAAGTAATATACTTAAGAGTAATATCCACTCACTTTACAATATATTTAAGTTGAAAATGTCGTCAATCATTTATATTTTACTGAGCATTAATGTTTTTATTTTCAATTTGTTTCATTTATTCTTTATATTGCTTCATAAAAAAAGTGAAAAAGAGGTGGCAACAAAAGAGACAATCAAATTCAACAACATAAAAGAGGGGCGATTTGATAGAGGACTTCGTGGAATAAATTAACAGCAGCTACAATTTACAACACACTTTCTTCCATCTATAAAAACAAACCAACCACCAATGTTGTAACCCAAGGAATCCTGGTTTAGATGTTTATTGATCATTTCTATCTTCTTGTTTGGTAATTCTCCTTGAGCCTGAACGCCCCACATTTTCAAGAAACACTCTCAATTCTCCCTACAAGTTTCCACAAATCTTACCTTGTCTATTTGAGAAGTATAATAAATTTTGTGAATAAAATACTAAATATAGTCTTGGATCGATTAAAATTATCAAACTGTTGTATATAACTTCATCCATACTACTTCATATTTGAATTTCTTTCTTTCATTGATTTATTTATTATCTTATACTGGAAAACTAAAATTTTACCTAACAATTTTATTTCTAAAAAAATAATTCCACTTGCAAATTTTTAGTATTTATACTTGTAAACCAACCCCTAGGTGATCGGGTGATTCAATAGAGACTCGTTGGGTTTTACTTAAGAGCACTTGAGTTCGAATCCTTCCCGATTGCTATAAGGGTGGCCACTAAGCTTTTATTGACCGATAGTTTCAAGGTTCTGGAGGATTAGTTTAAGTTGTACATAGCTAGTCTGGATACCCCCAGCCATTAAAAAAAAAAAAAAGTATTTATACTTGTAACATTAAATAAGTTGACAGTTGAAGCTTGATTAACAACTAAAATGGCACTATGAAAAAGATTGGAGGGTGTGATACATATGATAGTATAGCTATAGGTGTTGTCCCTTCATTATTTCACCACCATTGAAGAAGTTTGCTTGTATTTTGAACATTTAGAAATGTAAAATTTTCATTCATTGAATTTGATCTATTAGTTGTGAGATTGGTAACCTTGGTGAGTGCACTACAACAAAAAGGGTTTTTAGCTACGATTTTTTGTTGCTAAAAACCTAGAAATGTTGCGATATACGTTTAGCGACGAAAAAATCGTCGCTACGATCGTCGCGGTAGGCATGTCGCGCTTGATTTAGGTGACAATTTGTTAAATTCGTCGCTAAATTTGGCAACAAACCAAAAAATTGTCGCCTATACCATTTTCGTCGCTAAAACTAATTACCGTGAATATTAAATGTCGTCGCCTAAAGTTAATAGCGACGTACTTTCTATGTGTCGCCTACACTATACAGCAACGAGATGTGTGTTGTGGCCGCCTAACGTATACCACAACAAAATTAAATTTTGCTCGCCTATGATATACCGCACGAAATGTGCATTTTTGTTGCATAAAGTTAGTAGCAACTCATAATTGTGTGTGTCGCTTAAAGAATATAGCAACAAATATGACATTTTGTCCCTAACATGTATGTGATAAAATATGAGTTGTCGCTAAAGTTATATCTACGTAATCTTTATATGTGTCATTTAAGGTATAGCACGACAGTACTTTTATTTCTCGTTGAAACTTTAGCTATGAAACGTAAAATGGTAAAAGTCATCAACAAAACTTTTCAACGATAATGTTTTTTATAGCTAAAATTCTACATCGAAATATAATCATCGTCGCCCATTTTATAATATATGATTAAATAATTTTAATTTATTTGACATTTAAAATTTAATTCTAAAACATAAACATTAATTTGTAAATGTATTAATTGAAATCACACAAAATATATCAAACCAAATATATTATAAAACTATATAAGTTTTTTTCAAATAAAAAGTTAACTAAATTGTAATATTCAACAAAAGTAACAACTGAAAACTCAAATTTTTGCAGGTGGTGGAGGATCTGGTGGAAATTGGCCTGGAAATGTTTTGTGAGCCATCAGAACAAAAACCTATATTAACTGAGATGAACTGCTGCATTTTCTCCATCATTTGCCTATATTGACAAATTCTTCCCCTATGCCTCGTAGTTTCTTGCACCTCCTCACACAAGTGTGTGAATTCCTCTAAACTTCTTGATTGGCTCGCCTTGAAGTCTTAGAAGATGTAGGTGGTTTTGACCATAACCCAATCCACGATTTGTTCCTACAAATATATATATGTACATACACACAATATATATAATTAAAATAATATAATTTTAAAATTAAAAATTAAAAGGTATTAGGTTATAATATAAAAATATAATCAACTTTTATACAGAAAAAAAAAAATGAAATACACTACATAATACTTACATATCGAACCTTGGCTTCGTCATTTTAAGTATTTCTTTTACTGCTAAAATGTGTCGGAATAAATGCACCTCCCCTTAGAGTTGCCTTAAGAAAGATCCTAATATTCAAAAAAAAAACAAATAAAAGATATTAATATTAAAAAAAAAACAATAAATACAATTACAACAATACATTAAATAAAAAATTATTCAAAAATAATATTTCAAACCTTTGAATTATTTGTTCGGTGAAAAACGATTATCGAAATAACCCTACCCATAAGCTAATTCAGGTACTCAAGGACTAAAGGATCATTCAAATCAATATCAAACTTTGTCTACCAAAAAAACAAATTCAATATATTAGTAATTAATAAAATAAAAACAGTTTACCAATGACGAGCATAATCATTTTTTATCATCAAGGTCAATCTTCTTGCTCCAAACAAATCTAAGTCAGTTTCTTTCACTAACACTAACTAACAAAGAACATCACAAACAAATCTGAAAGATTAAAAACAAAAATTAATCAAAAACCAAAATTGCCTCAGCCATCTCAACATTTCCAGCGGTTTCAAACAAGCCAGGGAGCTGGGCACTGTCATTTGATGTCCCTTCTTCATGCCATATAAGCACTTCACAATTTAGTATTCAAACTCATTCTATTACCTGAACTGCTCACGGTATAGCTAAACAGCCTTGGCATGTGACAGTAACGTTGTGCATAACATTGAGGGGCTCACATCAGAGTTGCCAGCAAACAATGTCCAAATGGTGCTGACAGTGAGCTGGAGGGTACCATCCCCTAACATATCCCATTACGCTACAGGCTCGGCTCGTTGATGGTTGCCCAACTCTTAACTCCATCACCAAAATTCTCAAAGCATATTTTGGCAAAAGTACGAAATCTTCAGAACACTGAAATCACATACTGTACCAACAAAACTGATTCTCATACACTAATGAACATGAAAGGGATTAGGATCTTAGAGCAACCAGGTATTGCATCTTAAAAGCAAAACGGAAGAAAACCCCTTTAGAGAATGGTGAACTTAGTTCCTAGGCATATATTCAGAACTATTGAAAATAGAGTCGAGCATTTTTTTTTTAGGGAAAGAAAAGCTTATAGAGTGTGACAGAAGTTAAATGAATTAGAGGCTGAGCCAAGACCCATATCTCTCTCCTAGTTCTTGTGGTAAGCCAAATGGAATATGGTCACAAACGGCTCAATTCCTGCATTAACCAAAATTCATATTCGTCATCTTCAAATTTGTAAAAAAAAAAACCCTAGTGCTTAAGTTATAGATTCATTGAAAAGATATTACCTCTGAGCAAGAGATGGTCTATAATATTATTATAAGACATGATTCCACTTGGATAACTTCACCAAGTCTGCCTTCTGTTACAGCTCAGGAACATTACATCAGTAGTTAATATTAATCTCACTACATTAACATTCATTAATTGCTACTAAAGACATACTTGGTAAAATTCTAACCCATGAAATTGAGAACCGGTATGCATTTACACCAAGTGATGCATAATCTCAATATCTTCCTGTGAAAATAAATAAGAAATTCATATATGTTGAATAGAATTGTTGCAGGTAATAAAAATTAGTAAATTTAACCATTCATTAACCAAGAATCGGTGGTAATGATCATCAGCCACATCTCTATTATCATTAATTCTTTAATTGACGAATCTGTTCAAGCGATTCTTGAGTTCAATCGGCTCCTTCTTCGAATACGACGCGATATAGAAGTGATGTAATTGCCCAAAAGGAGAAGTGACGGATTCAGGGCAGAAATTGGAGAAGATGGCGGCCGGAGTGGAGAAGTGGATCCGCAACGGCGTCGTCGGTGGTAGGGTTTTGTGGTTTGGCGATTTTCGATGCCAAGTGACGAGGACTGTAGATTTAGGAGTTAATATTTTTTTAACTTTTTTTACTTGTAAGGGTTCACACTTTTTCCATTTGGGGCAAATTCTTTTTTTTTTTTTTTTTTTTTAAACCGGTTTGGGTTTTTGAGATTCTCTTCAATTTTAGATTATAATCTTAATTTAAATTTTTCTTTTTTAATTTTAACGAAAATTGTTACTTTTTTTTTAATAAAATCAAGAATTTGGTTTTTCTCTATTTCTATCGACCAAACCAAACCAGTTTTTCGGATAACTAGAAAACCACTTCATCCCATTTTGGATTGGTTTCTACATTTTTCTAAGCATCCCTACATTTGGGTGTTGGGGATACGCCTCACAATAACTCACCGAAGTTAACAAACTCCATGGAATAGGTACAGAGTCACTGACCAATCGCGTCTACTAAACGGGAGTCGTACAATGAGAACTTTTTTGTTCAATGTCGGAAATAGGTCGACTATAGGGTTTGCAAAAATGAGTGAAATAGGGGATAAGAATAGTTTTAAGGAAAAAACTGTGAGAAATGTGAATGAAAATTGGTGGCAAAAAATGGGCGGGAAAAGTTTTAGGCATTTTTTTTTTTTTTTTTTTTTTTGTTTTTTTATATACACCAAATAATCCTAAGTAATTGCTAGTTTCATTTTAATTAGTAGCATGTCCTCAGTAATCCTAATTACCCAAGAAATCCTAAAGTAATAATTTTACTCAATGTAAATAAATAGTGGTAATTTTTCCTACCCTAGTGTATATATAGACAATTAAAATACTGTAACCACAAATAGATAATGTTATCTTATGATAGACCATTTTCTCGAGTTTTATATGTATCACATTCTTATGATTTGAATACCTGCATCCACTTTTTAAAGAACCGAACCGTACCTATTGGTCGGCCCAATCGAATTGGAACCCGGTACCTTTAATAGTCTGGTTCTCTCTCTAAAAACCAGAATACACGTCAGCCTGGTTTTCATTTGATGTTGAAGTTAATGAACAAGAGAACTTCGTAGGGTGGATGTGGAACCAAGGTTGTTCAATTTGTGGAGCCAAGTGGTAGAGTTAGTGATGAGATACCAGTTTCATAAATGATAATAGTGAAAATGATGAGTAATGAAAGTGAAGATGTATAAGTTGAAGATGATATTGAGATTATAATATTATTATTGTCATCCAAATTTAATTTGCATAATTGTGATTTGATTTTTTCTTATGCATTATTTTGATTTGTTTGTTTATATTATTAATTTAATGTACTAAATTTAATATTTAAATATAAACATTAAATAATATTATAAATTTATATATAATATTATAACAAAATAAAAAAATAATATTAACAATAAATTAATAATAATAACAATAATAAATAATAATGATTCTAAACAGCAACAAACAAGTATCAAACTTAAGCTGCTAATAGTGGAACTTGAAACACATTTAGCCATTTGCTTTTCGTATTTCACAAACTAAATAATAATAATAATAATTTTGATTTCTTTTATTAATTACTGATTAGTTTTACGTTTTCAGTTATTGTCATATAAATATAAAATTATATTAAAAATTAATTCAACAAACTAATGGCAATGATTTAAGAAATTAACACCAAATTTCTTTCATGACAAAACATAGATTGCGTTGCAAAACGTTTTAGCATTGTTTTTATATTTGCTTTGCCAAAAACGTTTCTCGACGAATCATTTGTTGCGTAGCCAGATGAATTTGCGTCGTTTTTAATATTTTCGTCACCAAAAACGTTTCCCAACGAACAATTTGTTGCGAGCCAGATGAATTCTACGTCATATTTTATATTTTCGTTGCTAAAACCATTCTTGACGCATAATTTTGCGTAGCTAAATGGATTTTACATCGTTGTTTATATTTTCGTCACCAACCACGTTTCCCAATGCCACAATTTGTTGCGTACCCGATGGATTTTGAGTCATTTTTTATATTTTCGTCCCAAAAAAACGTTTCCCGATGCACAATTCTTGCATAGCCAAATGGATTATGCTTTGTTTTTTAATTTTTCGTCGCCAAAAAGGTATTACGACTACCTTTGTTGAGTAGCTAAACTTCGTTGGCGTCGCTTTATATGTTCGTCGCCAAAAACATTTTATGGCGCCATGCATTTGCGTTGTTAAATACTTTTGGCTACTTTTTGTATTATTTTCATCTCTTAAAAGTATCCACGACGACATATAGTTACATTGCGAAAAAACTAGGCGTCGTTTTTTTTATTTCGTCGACAAAAACATTGTATGACGAATTATGTCGTCGCTAAGTCCGTCGCCAATTTGCTCCCCGCCATATCGTGGGAGTATTAGAAAGTCCACGAAACTATTGGCAACCAATTTCATATTTCGTCGCTAATAGTTACTTTTGGCGACAATTTTTGAAACCGTCGCTAACAAAATTGTAGCTAAAAGCCTTTTTTGTTGTAGTGGTGGAAATGGCCAAAGACAAACTCTTGTGCCACATTGGAGATGAAAAGGATGATTAATTTCAACCCCACTATGGGAGAGGATAGTGGTTTAGGCCCCTTCTGTAGCTAAAGGCTTCTTGGTTAACTCGGCTTATAATGAAATTAGGGCGAGGAAGACTAAGGTTGATTGGGGCCATCTTGTGTGGTTTCTGAAATCTTTCCCTAGACATGCTTTGATCCTTTGGATGGCCATCTAGGGGAAGCTCAACACCAAGGACAAATTGGAGAGGTATGGTATCTCTCAAAACTCTTGTTATAGTTTTTGCAATTCGGCCCGTGACTCAGTGTACCATCTTTTCTTCTGTATGGTATCTCTCAAAACTCTTGTTGTAGTTTTTGCAATTCAGCCAGTGACTCAATGTACCATCGTTTCTTCTCATGTAACTTTACTAAGTCCATTTGGTGCTGGGTTCTTGATATAAACTCTATGGTTTATGGGGGAGTGTCTTGGAGTGACTATATCAAGGGCTTGTCCCTTAATTGGAAGAGGAATAAATTGAAGTATGCCTTAAGGAAGTTGTGTTTGGGTGCTTTCGTCCATTGGACTTTGAGGGAAAGAAACAATAGAGTGTTTTGGTGTGGAGTACAATGATGCAACTTCAATCATTACTATGATTAAGTTAATTGTGAGGGATAGAGCTATGGATCTTACGAAGATGAAGAGAACCATTAGTAATAGGAGTCTTGCTCAGAATTGGGGGTTACCAATGTGCATTTTTAAAGGGTGAATATTTGTTGGTTGTCTTTGTTTTGGTGATGGCTGTCTTGCGTATGTTTTGGAGATCGTCTTGTATAGGCTTGTTTTGTCTTAACCTAGGGTTTGTCTTGTGATAGGATGTGCATTGAGAGATAGTGTCATGCGTAGCTCGTTTATCTTGGTTAGACTTTTGTTTTTTATTCTCCTGGGGGTTTGTCCTATGGTAGGCTGGTTGCTTATATAGGCTTCTTTGTACATTCTTTTTCTTTTTCTTTTTAAAGCTTAATTACCTCACGAAAAAAAAAAAAAAAAAATTGATCAATGATATTTATATTAGATGACAATTTCAAGACTCAATTATGACGAACAAAATTAAGATGAAGGAACACACGAGATGGGATCATGTCCACGAGTATAACTAGTAACAAGTGTGTGTATATTGTATACTGTTGGAGTTGTCGACCACTTCAACAATAAGAGGCCATGCAGACGCATTCGAGAGTTTCTCTAAATAATTAATTACTAACTGGGTTTAGGCTTAGGAAAATAGATCTTTGTAATACTAGGTTTTACTCTTTGAACCTAATATATAAAATTATTATTTTTTTCTCTTGTATGAGTGTGACAGCAAATCATAGGGCAAATACATTCAGTAATAAGAGAGGTGAGACAGTATTTCAATAATATCGACTTGGCTGAACGTAACCTGTTAATTGGATGAACTAGGATAAATCGTGCGAAATTTTTGTTCTCTGTACTTGTGTATGTTTACTTGTTTTGGTTTCGTATTACTTTAGATTGTTTCATATACTATATTTTCTTTATAAACCGAAGATAAAAAAGTCACTTAAAGCATCTCCAAATAACTCTTTATATGACTCAAACTCTTTATCATAAAGAGTTTATACATAGAAACAAAAGTCACTTAGACTCTTTATTTTTTAAATATAAATTAAAGGAGTGAGTTTGACTCTCCACATCTAAAGAATTACATTTCATTCTCTATCATAATTTTAATTAATAAATTATAAGTTTTTATATATTTTAATTATTAATTTTCTCTCCTATTTATTAAGTCTAATTTAAGGAGTTCATTGGATTTGAATAAAAATTTTATTCTTTATATTTAGAAATTAACGAAGATATTTTTTATTTATATGAAATGTGCTATTTAAAATAAAGAGCACGAAAGATGCTCCTATCAAGTTAACAGAATTTTATAACAAATTTTATCATAATGAGGTCCAAAGACCAATTTCCCTGTTACAGCAATACCCTATATTTAGCAAATGCATAAAATATTAAATACAATGTATTTCCCAGACCCATACATTGAATGATATAATTAGTGTATTACTATATAAACTTATATACAACGTAATTGGTAGATAAAATCCTCTTAGCAAGTAATTAATTAATTAGAAATTACATTGTATCTGATAACATGACAGACATGAACTGATTAACTTCATTTCCTTGTAAGGTTATATGTAACCAGATCCCTTTTCTTTTTTTTTTTTCATTAATGTTGATAATTCTAATCTTTCTCAGGTGGACTTTGTATGGTGTATCAATAAGAAGACACTATACTAGTCGAGATTTCTGCAAGTGTCACTCATCATAAAGAGGTGACGATTCCGGAGAAAACAACTAGCCCAAAACAAAGCTTTATTTTTTAATTAATTAGCCATTATCGTTTTCGTTTCTTCTTCTCTTTGCTTATGAATATG